CTCCATGGGCTGCAGGGGGACAGCCTGCCTCACCATGCTCTTCACCACGGGCTGCAGGGGAATCTCTGCTCCGGTGCCTGGAGCACCTCCTCCCCCTCCTTCTTCACTGACCTGGGTGTCTGCAGAGTTGTTTCCCTCACATATTCTCACTCCTCTCTCCAGCTGCAGTTTGTTGCACAGGTTCCCCCCCACCTTCTTAAATATGTTATCAGAGAGGTGCTACCACCGTCACTGATGGGCTCAGCCTTGGCCAGCAGTGAGTCCATCTTGGAGCTGGCTGGCATTGGCTCTGTCGGCCATAGGGGAAGCTTCCAGCAGCTCCTCACAGAAGCCACCCCTGTAGCCCCCCCACGACCAAAACCTTGCCGTGCAAACCCAATACAATTACCAATTACAAAATTAATTTAAAAGCCTAATTTTAGCAACAACATTTGCAAATTTAAGCTAAAATTTATCTTGAAGTGGGCAGAATTTCCACAACTGTTTCTTAACTCATCTCCAAAACCTTAAAGGTAATTTTGAAATTAATTCTGGTATTAGGTTATCAAAGCTGTTGTAGAAACTCCATCTGGTGGTCACTAGCAGAATACTCTTGCAGTTCCCAAAAGCGGTAAGATCAGTAAAACTGATGAAAGGATTTGAGTTAATCATTACGGGGGAAAAAAAAAAAAATAAAAATCAGTCCCAGTTTCTGGGTAAACACAGATTTGTACTAGCTGGTCCTGTCTGCAGGCAGTAAGGGTATTCCTGCAAGTATTTGTAAGAAGAAACAAAATTAACCATAACTTCTACAACAAGCTGCTGCTGCGAGGATGAGGCAGGTAAGAGAAAATTCTGTTGGAAGAAACACATCTCAACAATGGTTAACTTTGGTTTTGAACCTAACAGAAGGATATTTAACCAGGCTATTAGGTCTGATTATTCACAAGAAATAAATATTTATAAAAAAGCATATGTTTCTTGTATTGTTTTATGAAACATCTGGTACCAGTCATTGTGGTTGACAAGATGCTCAAAGATCAAAGGAAGTGCCATTCCCATTCAGCTCCAGAGCACTGTAATTCTTTCTAATTAAGTTATGGTTTCACTAGTTCACAATCAAATAGATTTCATACTTAATTAATACAGAAGTTTCTGAAATTTTTCAAGTCAGCCTATGTGCAATTAAATAATCATTCTAGCACCTGCAGTGCTATGCAGAGACCAGCTCTCTTATAAAACTTGCCATTAGAAAAAGCTTTTTTCCACCCTTTAATAGAAGTAGAGTATTATTTGGAAATACAGGCAATTTTTGAGCTCTCATAGCTGAGTTACGTAGATGATCTACCCGTTCTGAGGAATTTATTTTGTGATTGATAGAAACATTACTGTATAGTAATAATAATAAAATACTGTTTATAAAACAACTTACATTACAAACAATGCCCAAATAAGCCAATATAAAATCACTAATAGTGAATCATGGGCAAGCAACCCTGAGATGCAAAGGCAGCGATCACACAGCACAGAGCATGGCTGTTCTAGAACAAAAGGAAGAAATGTTGATTTACAATCAGCCTCTGAGGCATAGGTAATTATTAATACCAGTACTTATGTATACACATCTCCAACTTGTGCTTTTTTAACCCTATCCAAGCAGAGAGTTCCAAGCAGAGGCAGTAAGACTATCAAGTTTTACAAATTCACATAGCTCTAAGTACCTTATAAATCAGCATAAGCATCTGAATTCCACTTAAAAAAACCCCACACTCAAAAAACCCTCCCAAAACCAAACATGCAGGGAATATAATACAATAAAGACATGCAAGGTTTTTTTAATTCTAAAATTCATTCATAAACAAGATTCCTTTAACTTTCTTCAAGCCAGCAATTCTTGGTTTTGTGTACAACTTCCCTGCTTTCTACCCCCCCCAGCTTTTTATGTCAAAGGCCTAATGCTCCATGGTCTTTTAATCAAGGATACAAATTTGCTTGCTGTCAAGTAAAAAAAGACTAAAAATACATAAAATTAAATGCAAGGCCTTTCACAAGAACAGTTTTACAGAGTGACTAGCAACTGTGCATCAAAATAACA